AGCACAAAGTGCTTGAAATTTATATGTTTGCCCCCCTCCAACCTTTTATTTCTTCCATTGCCCCCTTGTATGTGATTACTAGCCCCGTCTCTAGTGCATCAGTGTGAACTATATATAACACCATGAAATAATAAAAATCACACAAGAACCCACTAGTTGTATACAAAGTTACTTATAGTTTTTTTCACCGTATTTTATTTAGAAAAACATAGTATAAACCCAGAAATTTGAATTGCACTCTACGCAAAAAAAGAAGTCAATTACACTCTCCCCAAAAAGCAAAGAAAAACGAGTCTGTGATGTGGCCATCTTGCTCTAAAATGAACTACGCCATGCTTGAGATCACCGGTTGCAGGTTCTTCAACTAAAAAGGAAAAAATGCAGGTTCTAAACTGCGTGATTATGCTCAGCAACGAGGGTTTCAGGCGGCAATTTCGAAAGCCCACAGTAGCAGCCGCTCAAAACCGGCTAACCTTTACGATTAGCATATCAACCCCTTAGAACCAATATAAACTTTATAACAGCCCTTGTCAGAAGTTCTTAAGCACCACGAGGAGCTGCACGGAATAACCTCCTACCACAGGGGCCCGGTCGTCAATCTCCTCGTCTATAAAATCCCCACCAACCCGAGCCCCAGCCCCCGCACCAAGCAGAAAAAAAATCTCTCTCCGCTCCCCGCTCCGAGTCGCGTCGCGTGAGGAGAAAGGAAGGGAAGCCAGAAAGGTAAGGGTCTGCCCGCGAATCCCACCGGAACTCCACCAATTTCCCCCGCGATTTATCCATCCGGGCCGCGGGATCCGCCCGATTCCTCCCCCGATCTGCGCTGATTCGCCGCCCGACCCGTCGGATTCGGTCCTCCGTTTGTGCAGGGTTCTCGCCGAGGCGGAAGGAGGAGATGGCCGGGAAGGGAGGCAAGGGCCTGCTCGCGGCCAAGACGACGGCCGCCAAGACCGCCGAGAAGGACAAGGGGAAGAAGGCCCCCATCTCCCGCTCGTCCCGCGCGGGGCTGCAGGTGAGCGAGCTCGCACGCACTTGCTCTGCTTTACTTTCTCCGTAGGCGGGCTTAGATTTGCTTCGAATTCGAAGCGTCGCGCGCGCTGGCGTGCTGGCCGTGGTATCCGAGGGGTTTCCCGGCGCGTGCGCTCTAGGGCACGCCTCCAGGAAGCTGTAGGGAGGTGATTGCGTGCTGTTCCTGTTGTTTATACTCGGCATGGGTTAGGTTCTTCGGTGAATTGGTTGCGCGGAAGCTAAGCGGAGTTTTAGAGATTCGGTAGGTTGTAGCGTCTTGCAGAATTTTTGTAGATCTGGAGAAGCATTTGCTCTCTCAGGATTTGGTTCGTGATATGCGTTGAGGTTTTGTAGATTTCATTGATAGAATTCATTGTGCATTGGTATATAGATAGGTGGTGAGTCCAAAGTTGTCCGAAGCGCGGAACGATGCCGCGGCCCCTCTTCCGGGGTGGTTCGGCTGGATCTAGGGTTTGGGATTGAGGTGCGGGACAACATGAGTCGATGGCGGGGACGCGACCCGTTCACACGGAATGATGCCGCGGCCCCTTTTCGGGGGTGGTCCGCCTGGATCTAGGGTTGGGATTGAGGTGCGGGACGACACAAGTCGACGGCGGGGACGTGACCCATTCATGCGGAACGATGCCGCGGCCCCTTTTGGGGGGGGGTCCGCCTGGATCTAGGGTTGGGATTGA